CACACACACACACACACACACACACACACACACACACACACACACACACACAGTAAAAAAACATTCTGTAAAAACAAAGTTTTTATCTTTATTAAACATTTGCAGAAATGTTGCTTCAGAATTTCTTCAGTAAAAAATCTCTTAGATAAAACAATAAATATTAACCAAGATTAATACCTAATAAATAAATAAATAAATACTATTTAAAATAAAATGTTTAAATATTATTGATAGAATCTAAAACTTCTAACAATAAAACTTAAAATTAGAAATATGAATCCAGTCAGTGGTAAAACATCTGACAGGATTTTATCAGGAAACGAGTTAAATTAAATGTTTTAGTGTTAAAACCAAGAGGGTTTTTCAGGCTCTCCTGGTCCTTCAGATGGATCAAGATCAAGATCAGGGTCAGGATCAGGATCAAGATCAGGGTCAGGATCAGGGTCAGGATCAGGTTTTGAAAAATGTTTTATCAGAAAAGGTTTCCATGGTTCTGATCTGGTCTCTTCCAAAACTTGTTGATTTTCCACGACAGCTGTGAGACGGTTTGGTTCAGCTGAGTGGGCGTGGCTTGTCTCGAACACCTGGCTTTGTGTTTATTTCCAGGTAGTTCAGGTTGGATGTGCTCGTGGTTTGTTGTTGTTGTTCACGTGTACAMTCCTTATGCACCATCTGCTGCTATTTTCTTCTAGCTGTTTTACAAATAATCTGTTTTGACTGCACCTGACCAACAAGAAGACTGACCCAAACACTARGTCTGGGTTCTGAGTCCTGACATGGACTGAGACGAACCAGTAGGACCAAAACTGAACAGGAAAACACAAATTTACACACATAACACACAGGAAGATGTTTTTACAGTGTAGTGTGTGTATGTGTGGACTGGTATTCCCTACGTTGTGGGACAGTTTTATGGCATACACACCTACTTGTGGGGACCTAATGTTACTTATGAGGGTACTTATGGGGACCTGAGTCTAGTCCCTTTAGGGGGAGATGCCGTTGGTGGGTCGGGGACCAAGATGTGAATTGAGTTTAGTTCAGGGTTAGGGTCAGGTAGGGTTAGGGTCAGGTAGGTACCTGTGAGGTTAGTTTAGGGTCAGGTAGGTACCTGTGAGGTTAGTTT